GCTGAGCACCCCCAGCTCCCCCAGCCGCTCCTCCCCAGCCTTGGGCTCCAGCCCCTGCCCCAGCCTCGCTGCCCTGCTCTGGCCACGCTCCAGCCCCTCCATGGCCGCCTTGGGGTGAGGGGCCCAGCGCTGAGCACAGCATTCGAGGGGCGGCCTCACCAGTGCCCAGCGCAGGGGGACGATCCCTGCCCTGGTTCTGCTGGCCACACTTGGAGCAGGATGCAGCTCACAAGCGCAGCTCTCCCGTAGCTGTGCAGGACGGCCATGGCTCGCTGGTGCTAGAACACTTGCATCACTCACAGAGGCCCTTAAAATCACAGGACTCGCCACAGCAGCTCACACCAGCACCAGACACCTCACAGCCGGTACCTCACCGTTTTACTCCCAGTAGCACACAGCAGTTTCCCAAGCAGTAGCCCAACACATACCCCTCCCATTTACAGCTGACAAGGAAGCCAAGCAGCCCAGCTGGCTTTCCTAGGCCCAGCCTACAGCTCAAGCTCAGCCTTGGCTTCCCCCCGGTCCCAGGGGACAGAGGGCCACGGCAGCCGCTAGATGCCACCATTGCACAGAGGCTGCTGGCAGCGTGACAGCACCAGGGCTGCTCCTCTGCCTTTCCCCTTCAGGCAGCTCAGACGCCAATAAGTTAAGGGAAGTTTTTAAAATTTAATTTCTGTAGTTGACAGGGTTTCCCCCACCTGAGCACACCTCTGCTGGCAGCCAAGTACAGCTCATTTCGAGACTGACATTTATTCTCTACCAGAACGTGCTTTGATCCCCCGGAAGGGATGAGCCGCTACAAACCCCACGCGATGCTCCTGCGGCGCAGGCAGCAGCAGCAGCAACCAGCCACCTCGCTGCCAGCAGCTGCCTCCGCAACCCTGCCCGGCCCTCAGGCACGCAGCACTGGGGGAAAAGAAAACAGTCTTGTTGAAAGCTTATTTTATATCAACCCATCTCTTTCTTGACCAATATCTAGCATGATGCAACAGAATGAATGAGGCTTGGAAAACAAGTCTGGGCTGTTCTCTCTAATTTTGCATTCAGGCCGACTCCTCTGCTATTTTTCCAGTCCTGCTTTAGACTCCTACTTAGGCTGACGCCATCTCAACCCCGCTTCTCGAGCGGCAAGCCGACCTGGCGCAAGGCGCTCTGCGAGGCGATCTGCTGTCACCCAGCCTGATGTCAGACGCTCAATTCCCCTCCGCAGAGCTGGGTTTCACGCTCCCGGGCAAGACTCCAGGGAATTCCAAACCTTTATTTCTCTTGCCAGTTGGTATAAGGAAAACCTAAGACAGCAAGCCATTTTCCCATGGGAATAGGCAGGACGTGTTATAGGAAACTCTGACCTCTTCCAAATTACTCATGCAGAGCACAGCACGCTTCGCATCAATATGACCTGAAAAAAATCCACACCCCACCTCAGCTTTGTTAAAACTTAGACTTTCACCTGAAAGATTACACCTCATGTGACCAGGAAAAGTAAAACCCCTCCAAGAGAAACGACGATTTTCTTCCAGCACTTGATACTACTTTGTCAGTCCCCCTTCCTCTTGGGAATTCCCAGCGCGGAGCACGGCAGCCCTCCGCCCCGCCGAGCTCCGAACGGCACCTGCACGAGCAGCAGCCCACCCCAAACACAACGGAGGCGGCAGCAGGCAAGCAGACACCTGGAACTGGAAGTTGCATCGGAAAAGGTAGAAAGACAAGGGAGATGCGCATTTCACGCTACGCACGGGCTCTCCCTTTAAACACATTAATATCTCAGGAAAATTGCTTTAAATAGCTCAAGTGCACAAGGCTCTATAAATATTTACTGCTGTAAGCACAGCAGCTTCTCGGCTCTGTGTAGGTCTTTGTTTTAGGGAAAAGGAGGCAATTTCGCAGTTGCAGACTCTCAGGATGACTGCCCTAACGCCCGGGCAGGGAACCAGAAGGGTCGCCTCCCCTTAAAAAGGCAGATTTGAGCAAAACCGGACAGCAGTAAGAGCAGCACGTGCCTTTTTCCTCCTTCAGCTTTCCAAGGCGATCCTCACTTCGTGCGGGGGTGAGCGTGATCCCAGCTCTCAGTGCGATGCTGGAGCCAATACTGCATTTTAGGGTATTGGTCCAACTCAAGTGTCCTCCTCCAGAGATGCTCTAATGATCCAAGCCCCAGCCCACAGCCTCGCTGCCCCCATACAAACACCAGAAAGGTACAGCCGGGACTCGCCCTACGATAAAGCAAGCCATCAGCAGGCTTCCCTGCGACCTTCCTCGAAGGCTAGGCTGCCACAGGCTGGCAGCAACATCTCCAGGTTGCATCTGCGGTGTCTTTGAGAGGAACATAATTTATTCACAAATCTGGGGCAGAAGACATTTCAGGTGAGGCTCAAAAATCTCTTCCCAAAGGAGAAAAATAAATAAATAAATAAAATCAACGCACTCAAGCGAGGCTGATCGTTTTAAGACAAGCTTGCTTTCCTTCCAAGAGACACTGCTTATCACTGAAAGCCATTTACAGTTTGCGTGAATCAGACTGGCCAAAGATGCTTTTGCCACCTCATTTCTTAAATGGATTGTTTTCTGCTTGTGGGAGCTCGGAATCCACCACCTCACTTTCTGTTAGTCCACCCACAACAAAAACCAATGCATGTTATTTGAACTTCATTAAAAATACCAGCGGTTCCCCCAGCTTACAGACATGCGCTGTATAATGCCACCTCAACTTTCTTCTTTTTTTTTTTTTTAAATAAAATTAAACTGGGTTCAGTTTATTTGTAATTCAAAAGAAGTCAACCAACCCATTTGCAAAGTGGTATATTAAGGTCAAAACTTGAGGTGCACAGCGATGATGAGCCAAGGCCAATCCTTCACTCAATGCATTATATAGATAAGAAAATAAGACAAATTGAGTAGACTTTTGTTACCTATCTGACTAATGCTGCTTTTTGGCAGATTGCTCTTTCATCTATAGACGTAATTAAGCCAGAGTGGCTCCGTTCTGCAACTCTCCTAATAACGATGGCAGTTGAGTCCTCAGCGGAAGACTGATGAGCGAGCCGGGCCTGATCCGTTGGCACCTCTAGAGAAACGCTCTGCTCTACTGGGAAATTTTAACGCTGCAAGCCACCAGAAACACTCATCGTGCGACCGCAGCGCCTCACCCAGCAAGCCTGGGGATGGACTTTCATTTGTGACTGTCCTTATTATAGAATCGTTAAGGTTGGAAAAGACCCTTAAGGTCATCGAGTCCAACCGTTAACCCAGCGCTGCCAAGTCCATCTATACCATGTCCTCGAGCACCACGTCTATCCATTCTTTAAATACCTCCAGGGATGGAGACTTGACCACTTCCCTGGGTACAGCCAAAGCCACCACACCACAACGGTCTAACTGAAAATGCTGGATTTTCCCCCAAAGCACCCCCAGATGCTTCTGTTTTCCTACAAGCCATCAGCTCTGCCGAGTCCAGAAAAAGGTCTAGGACTTCTTAAAAGGTCTCCTTAAAAATTTGCAGGTGTAATGGCATACTGACCAGCGACTGCTGGGAGGAGGGGAGAGTGCGGGGCTGGAATAAAAAAAATAGAGAATACACATCAAATATTTAACTTGCTGCGATATCACGGCGAACTCGAGTAACCAGCTATGAAGGGCTGCTTGTGCTGCATTGCGTTCAAGAGGATCCTCGGGAGAAAGTGAGGTAGGTCTCTGCGAGCGACTGGCAAATCAATAACTGAAAAATTTCAAGACCTGCCGTGATTATAAAACAGGCAAATGCCATCAAGAATATCAAGCAAACCCTGTCTCTCCCGGGGCAGCACTGAGAATACCTCCCAACCAGCGTGGCGGACTTTACAGACAAATTGCAATGAATTTGTAACCCAAGTGTCGTGGAAATCCTTACTTAATACACAAGGAAGGATCAGAAGCTGTAATCACCCAGCGTGCAGCTGGTCTTGCGGCAATGAAAACGTTCATTTAAAAGTAGATAAACACCAAGAAAAACTTTAGAGCGGGTCAATGGGATGTAAATAATTTCCTCCTTCCCTTTTGCAAAAGGAAAAAGTTAAGAATGAGCCTCCAATAAAGCTTCTTCACAGCAAGGACTCCAAGAGCTGTGGCTAAGCAGAGATGGGTAAATTTAGTTTAAAACCTTTATCTCCCGTTCAGACAACGCTGCGTGTGCCAGCAAGAACACCATCACCGACTGTGAATTTTTGGGCAGACGTAAGCTACGCACACCAGCCCTGTCCCCTCCCTGGCAGTCCCTTACCAGCCGGACAACCGCTGACGGGCAGCGGGGCCAGGTCCCCGGGACGGCGCTGGGCAGGGTGCCCCCTCCTCCGAGCCCCTCTTCCAGGGCTGGCAGAGCCTGGCTGGGTATCGCTCGGGCTCCCCAACCGGCCGCGGTCCCTCGGCACACCTCTGGGGATACGCAGGCGGGTTTTTTATCACGTAAGCTAGTAGCTGTCTTAGTTGTGGGCGCAAAACGCAAGGTGCTGAAAGGTTCCTCCCTCTCCCTCCAAAGGGCTTGTGCAAACCTTCCAGCTGGATTAAACGAGGAAAAACCAACCAAGCCATTAATCTGTGCAAAAACCAGTGCAGTGACTGTACAACAGACTTGGTAACTGGAGCGTTTCTGCGCACCAGTAAGTTCAGCCTAAGCCATTAGTGCAGAAATTAATTTATCCCAAACGCCAGCAATAACTGAGCAGTGTCCAAAGACGACTGTTTATTCTACCAAGTCCCTGGGCGTCACAGATGTTAACTAGACCTTTCTAAACCATGACTCTCAGCAGCTCGGTTTTAAATGGAAAGCCTTGTCCCTGTGTGCGCAGGCACCATGCGAGGCTGCCCGGCTCCTTCGGAAAGCCGGAGAGACCGCGGCGCGCCATGCACGTGGGGAGAGCGGCCAGCAAATTGACCATGGCCAACGTTTTCATAGGGACAAGTTAATGATGAAAAGCAATAATTATTTCCAACAGGGCAGTAGTACCGCGCCGCACCTGACATCTGGGACAGTATGCCACTTGGGTTCCCCCAAAACAAATTAGCGGGAATGCCCCCGTTCCTGTGGACCACAGAAAACCGCAAAAAGCAGCGACACCCAGCCAGTCCCGTCCTCCCCAACAAGCCAAAGAGAACAAATGAGGGAAGAGAAGTGCTGGGAGGTCACAAAATTGAGGCCAAAAGATGGGTGTAGTAGATCCAGGTCTGTGCTGGGTCATGACAGCAGATCAGCTCCAGAATAAGAGCATCATTCCCACTTCCAGGCCTCGGCATG